TTGAACCTGGGAAGAAGGGAGGGGTGGGGGGAAGGTGTTTTAATATCTGGATTTATTTCTCACTGTCCCACTCTGATGTGATTGGTGATGAATTAAACTCCCTTTTCTCCCCAAGCTCAGTCTGTTTTGCCCGTGACAGTAACTGGTGAGTGATCTCTCCCTGTCCTTGTCTCGACCCTGGAGCCTTTCACCATACCTCCTCTCCCCTGCCCAGCTTAGGAGGGACAGTGCCAGAGTGGCTTTGATGGGCACCTGGCATTTATCCAGGCCAAACCAAAACAAAGTCTTAGTGACATAATTAGGCCTCAGAGATGCCAGAGCTCTCACTTCTTTCTTGGGTGTGTCTTTCACGTCTTGTTCCAGTGTAGCTGCTGCCCTTTAGTAGCAGCAGCATCACCTGTGCCCGCTGCTGGCAGGATTTTGAAATGCTTGTTCCGCTGTGTTCCCTACTGCGTTCCCCATGGCTTTTCACCTTGTCCGTGCTGTTTCACTGTTTTTCACAGTTTTTCCTGCAGAAGGAATTATCAGCAGGCAGAAAAGCAGATTTTGACTCCGAATCACAATTTGCTGCTTGGTCTAATTATCAAGTCTGCAAAGGCCACGAACTGCAAGGTTTTTATAAAGAAGAGGAGTATGATTGCCCAGCTCATCTCCGTGTTACAAAGAGAGAAGATGAGCTGCTTAATCCTGCATGCTCGCTTCCTTCCTGGGACGTCACCTGGACAGCAGAGGGGACTGGTGGCCGTGTAGCTTGCCTTGTGCATTCACAAGGCAGGGTATGTATCTGCTGCTTCGTCACAAACCGTTGCAAACAACAGCAAGAGTAGCAAAGTTCATTTCTAGCTGTTTGCCACGCAGAAAAACGCGATGGTCAGCATTTATGAGAAAGGGTTTGCTGGGAGATTGGGGGTACAAAGTGCCAAAATTTACTCCCCTCTGCTGCCAAGGGTCATCAGCCCTGCCTTAGCTTCTGATGTTCTGAGCTTCCTCCATTTGCGTTTCTTACCTTGGTTGCTTTGTTTATGCCGTTTGTTGGCTTACTAAAAATGCTGGTGCAGTCAATTCTGGTACAAAACAGAGAGGAGAAATGTGACCACGGCTAGAAGAAGCTTCTGTGGTATATTCAGAGGGTGAATTTTTGCCAATTGGGTGTGAGCCGTGCTGTCTCTTAACCAACCTTCTGGTGGACCACCAGGCTTCTGAGCACTGGAGGTTTGAGGAGCGGGTGGTTGCCGCCCAGCAGCGGTGAGAAGAAGCCCTGGCTCCTCCTGAGGTGGGAAAGGCAGCAGGGTTTCTGGTGGATGTGGCACCACTTCGACCCAAGCACTTTGCAAGTTGTGACACAGGTGCTGGTGCTGCCAGTGGCGTTACTGGCACCTGTCAGCCCGTGACTGAGTGAGAACAACAGTTCCCAACAGTGAGAACAGCAAAGGGCATCTGAGCAGAGAAGCATCTGAGCTTCACTGTGCTGCTCTCGATCATGGGTCTGTGTGGGCTCTGGTTTGTGTAGCCCCTCAGAGCTACCAACCCAGTATAAGAAAGTTGCTCCCCGTCTGAAGGACTTGCAGCCCTGCACGCGTCGTGTTGGAGAGTGCTGGAGCAGCTCTGTATGGCCAGCTGGTGTTCCCTGGGCGCCTGGAAATGGATGGAGAAATGCGGTGTTGTGAAAAGCCATCCTCCCCCAATCACAAAAATGGTGGTTTTTTTTTCTCTCGACAGCGTTTTGTGTGTTTTCCTTCTGAGCTCTCGCGCGAGCCTGTGCAGAACTTCCTCGCTCCTCGGCCGTGTCAGAGGAGCCAAGCACGGGCGAGGAGATGGCACCGTGCCCTGTGGCTGCCCTGCCCTCCCGAAGCGCTCGCAGGCAGCCTCTCCACACGCCGCTGCCTGCAGCACGCAGCGCCCGCTCCCCCGTAGGGATCAAGGCTCGGAGCAGGAGGTGATGGAGGTCGTGCTGTCAGCCTCAGGGGGACCCCAGCTGCTGCACTTGGGGGCTGGGGTCATCACTCTGCTGTTGACGGTGGTGGCCGTGTGCTCCCTGCCCTCCCTGATGGGTTACTGCAGGCGATGGTGGGTGATGAAGCTGATCCCGGGCATCAGCCCCTGCTACCCTGTGCTGGGAAATGCTCTGCTCTTGGAGCGGGAGGGAGAAGGTAAGAGCAGCTTGCGCCAGAGCCCGGCGCTGGGCTTTATGGAGGAGCCAGCGCTGGTGAGGTGCTTGCCTGGCCAAGCTGGGGGTGGCATGCTGTGCCATTTTGGCTTCAGGTCTCCGGGGCAGCGGGCAACCTGCGCAGGGGAGCTGTGTGAGCGGGGCTGGTGGAGGGGAAAGGAGAGGAACGGCCTAAATGCAGGGTTATTGTCAGTCAGAGATTAGCTGGAGGGTCAGCCTGGCAGTGGCTTCCAGATGCTGATGCTGGACGGGGACCCGTTTCCAGCTGTTGGTGAGATGGAGCAGGAGCGCCGTGGAATGTGCAGAGTGAGCGGAGCGGGGCGCGCTGGCGGGAAGCGCTGCTGCAGAACACGGAGCGCGGTCCCCACCGCCGTCAGCTGCGGTCCGAACAGCGCTCCCAGCTTGGGAAGGAAAGATACCATCTCTCAACAGTCATCTTCCCCCAGTGAGCGTGTGCAGGGGACTTCAGCGTGCTGAGCTGATGGATTGCTTTTGGAAGTAGCTGCGCCTTAGATGTGTGCATTAGCTACGAAAGAACTCGCTGAGTGTTTGCAGTACATCCCTCAAAAGCAGGCTTGCCTGTGCTCACGTTGAGCAATGGTACCTTCTTTTTGCCGGGTGCTGGAGAGAGCACAAATGTGCGACGTGTTCCCGTGCTTTTGGTACTCGGTTTCACACAGGAGCACCTTGCCTGAGGAGTCCGCGGTCTGAAGGACCAGCAGGCTCTGCTGGGGGTGCGTGTGGTGCCTGTGCACGCTCTGTGCACGCTCTGTGCACGCTCTGTGCACGCGTGTTCCTGGCTGGGCTGCCGGCAGGGAGAGCGGCCGGCTGGCTCATGGGAGTGGAGTGAAGCTGTGGGCGGCTGCAGCCTGGGTGTGCGCGCTGCCCAGTGCTGACAGGCACTGGGACTTTGTTTTCTTCTTCTGCTTTTTAAATCTTAAAAAAAAAACAAACACCCAGAAACAAGCAAACAAAGAAAACCTCCCAAAACCCCACATTACAGAATCACAGAATCACAGAATGGTAGGGGTTGGAAGGGACCTCTGTGGGTCATCTAGTCCAACCCTCCTGCCGAAGCAGGGTCACCTACAGCAGGCTGGACAGGACCTTGTCCAGGCGGGTCTTGAATGTCTCCAGAGAAAGAGACTCCACAACCTCCCTGGGCAGCCTGTTCCAGTGCTCCATCACCCTCAGAGGGAAGAA